AAGCGTTGGGTGAACAAAAATAGAAAAGAATTAACGAAGCAGCAAACACTAGCATTATATAGTTCAGAACGATAATACATAAGTATACAACACAACATTGCGAAATATTGTTCTATGAAGCCACAAAAAGCACTTGGCTGCGCAAAATAGAAACGGGCGAAAAAAAAAAGCAGCAACCAATAGCGTTATACAATTCGAAACGATAATGGATAAGTATAAATACAAATGCGGATAAAGCGTAAACGTATTAGGGGCGACCAGATTAAGAATCAGAAACTAGCAGGAGTACGTTGGTAAGGCGCACAATACTAGAATTCAAGAGGCAATTTTTCAAGCAGACTCCTAAAGATCTCGGTTTCGTCGACGTTTGCCATATTTCCAGGAACATTGCTCCAGATTACAGCGGCACGTGGTAATGCAGACAAACTAAAGACGTTTGTGTGCCTATATAGACGCTGAAAACTGAGGTTATGCTGAAAATGATGGGAATATCGATTAAGTTTGAGAAGTGGCAAGGAAAAACTGTGCTTGCTGTTGGCAATTCTGTGCAAAGACACTAAAGAGAAATGTTTCTGCGGGATTCGAGGGAGGAAAGATAAAGCGACTGCTCGATTTCTGTTACGCTAGAATGCCAGTTGTATTTACTGATGCTAAAGCGAGAAGCGCGGTTGGGAAGCGATTCCGGGATAGATAATCTTGATCAGGTGACCATATAGAAGATGCGTATTTGAGATTATGACGAACGAGTGTTTGGTAAACAAGCTCGCGCGTGGAGGGAGGGGCATCACGAAGATTGCATTTCGGGTAACCAAGCGTTCCTGAAGCGTCCGCTGTAATCTTGTTGATGTCGGATGGATGACTTGATACTTATACGATATAAGTCGGTCTTAAGGGGCTACCATCAACGAAATACTGAAATGTTGAGAGTGGGCGCTTTCGAGTGAAGATCATTTCATTACACTCATCAATGGTTGATGTCATTAGCCAATCTGAGCACCATGTGGTTACATGATCAGGGTCTTGCTGCAAAGCTGTATGATCTGATGGTGAAGTGATTTTGCGATAAATGATGAAGTCGTCCGCGAAGAGGCGAATTAATGGAGGGAAGATCATTGAGAAAAATTGAAAAATAATAAAGCGCCAATAACACTCCCCTGTGGGACACCTGCAGATGTCACCTCTGAGAGGGGAATACCTATTATCAATTACAGTACACTGTTTGTCAAAACACAAAAAGTTTCTGATCCAAGAAACTGTAAGTACATCCAAGTTCAAAGATGATACTTTAGCTATTAAACGACAATGCGCTACGCGGTGGAATGCCTTAAGGTCGATGAATATGCTGTCTGTTGGTAAAATTTTCATCCGTCTTGTTAAATATCTGATGCGTGAATTCGATAAACTGCGTATCACAGGAAAGCCCCTTGCGGAAGCCACACTCCCCTGTGGGACACCTGCAGATGTCACCTCTGAGAGGGGAATACCTATTATCAATTACAGTACACTGTTTGTCAAAACACAAAAAGTTTCTGATCCAAGAAACTGTAAGTACATCCAAGTTCAAAGATGATACTTTAGCTATTAAACGACAATGCGCTACGCGGTGGAATGCCTTAAGGTCGATGAATATGCTGTCTGTTGGTAAAATTTTCATCCGTCTTGTTAAATATCTGATGCGTGAATTCGATAAACTGCGTATCACAGGAAAGCCCCTTGCGGAAGCCGTTCTGATTTTTGAAGGAGTATTCGTTTTGCTCCAAGTCTGATGCAACATGTGAAGAAATAATGTACTCTAGTAGCTTACGAGGGATGCTCGTTAAGGATATGGTGCGATAATTACTGGGCAGGCATTTATCCCCAGATTTTAAGAGGGCGATGACCTTAGCGATTTGCCAGTCATACAGAATCTCGCCAGTTTGTAACGACTGTTGAAAGATGTGACCAATAATGGTACTAAGCGGAGCAGCGGTCAGCTTTAAGATTTTAGGGTTTATGCCGTCGACCCCTAAACACGTTGACATCTTGAGATTTGTAAATATGGAAGAGATACCTGCAGGATTATTGACTACAGGGTGCATAAAACGATACTCAAACGCTGGTGGCAGAATGTTAGCGTAATTTTCCTTCGTAAAAACTGAAGAGAAGTAATTAACAAACACGGCTGGGCAAGACTCAAGAGAGACCGCAACACCACCACTGTTCAAAATTATGATACGAGTATTAGAACGTGTGGGAAAATTTATTTCTAGAATTGCTTTGGGTCGTTTTTTTTCAGTGACTGCATAGGTGATGTGAAAAGAACTTGTGTTTCGCCTGACGCACTGAGTGACAATAAACCTTATCAAAAACACGATGCTTTGGCCATGCTACCGAAGATTGCAGTATTTTTGGCGTTCTGAAAGGACGCTTCTTTTCATTTCGAAGGGTGTGAATTGTACGAGTGTACCATGGTTTAAATATATTAACGCGAGCTGTCAAGCGACGGATATGTTGACGCACCAGGCTCACCAATTTTCCTCTATAAACGCATCAATTTTTGTTGACTGAGCGGTTGAACAAGGAGGTCATAAGTGAGTGAGAGAAGTCTTCTAAACTCTGATTTATTGATTGATAATCACCTCTTTTATTGTGAAGTATTGGCTTTGGAGAGACATGAGGCTTGGATGCAGGTAAGCTAATAGGTACCTGAACGACGTGGTGTTCATTGAGACAATCTGGATATATGGTTGAATTAGCTTTTTACAGAAGCTGACGATAGCAGCATATTATTCTAAGCAACACGTCATTCGCTGCGTGTGTCCGTGTCGTCAGAACCGGGGCCTCGCAACAAGCATCGCTCAGAGTGCGCTCGTAAGATTACGGCCGGTATTGCGGCCAAACAGCATTTTCCGATTCCGCCCGACGTGGGCACAAAATAGGTCCCGCCATACCACCGAGTTTATTCTCTATCATGGCGTGTGCGGCTGCCATGGAAAGAAATTTAGTTTTACCACGCACCGGATTTACAAAAAAATTTGGCGGCAAAAATATGACTATGGCTGCCCAGCAAATCCTGCAGGACAAGCGCGCAGAGACCTCAAACTTGCAAACACTGTTGTGGAAAGCTCATTCATAATGAAGCCGAGGTATATACACCCCTACAGTACAACCAGTGAACCCTTTCGGGTGGCAACGCCATCCACGACCATAGGTCGGAAAGAGTTCCGCAGTCCACTCACTCATGAAATATATTTTGCACTCGCACTCAGCAAAACATTACTTTCCCGGACTCGGCCTGAGCTTGAGTGAGTCCGACTGACGAGTCGTTTAGCCTATAATCAGTGTTTTTGACCATGGTGTCAGTGCTCTACAACACCGATTTCGCGCACGATTTGTGCTCGTCTTGACGCCTTTTGATAAATTACCTTCGAAAACGAGTTATAAGCGCTCAAAAACCAGTACGGTCATTTTTCTTGATAGAGATTGTAACATAAGACATATATTATTAATTTATCAAGAACTTCGTGGGAAGAGTTGGTGGGAAAGAGATCAAGCAACCCCCCCCCCCCCTCGTCATTCACACGCCTCTGATCATGGAAAGTTGACACGGTGTATGAACGACTTCGGAATACGTGTCAGTAGACGCGAGCATAAACGTGATTGTACGTAAGGGTGAAATTCTGAATATCACAAACATAAAAGGAACCGACGAACACCCACTGCAAAAATACGGAAGACTTCACGCTGCGCGACGACTTACACGCGCCTTGAAAAGCATATGGCAAGGTTTTCATGCTTTGTCAGACGCAATTTACTCAAAATGTGTGCGGCTGTCGTTTAACCGCAGTAATAACCACTCGGACTAAAGCTCAAAACAGTATTTACATCCACAGGTGGGTGTTGTTAGTTCCGGTCCGCATAATTCTTATAAATCACTCACTACTTGATGACACGTTCCTACGATTTCGGCCAGCCGTTGCTGGCTGTGATTGCTGGTGAGAAAGGAGAGACGGTCCCCATGCAATAAATTGGGCAGCTGCCAACGATTGGGACAAACCTCTAACGTATACAGCAGAGTACGTACAAGAGCCTGGACGAGGTACCACCGCAGTTGGTATAAAGATCCATAACATATGTGTAGTTTACATTAGGTAAATACGCGACGTAGCAGTGCCTCCTTCGTGTATCTTCTTGCATCCTCTCACAGCGCGTGCTTAGAGTAGCGCACTAACCCAGGATTAATGCAGCATTATGCCACCTTTTATTATTATTATTATTAATTTGCTGCCGCACCAGATGCAGCTTGTCATTGGAGGTTTGTCCTCAGCAGTCATTGAATGGTATCATTACACGGCAAACTACTTGGGAAAATGCCGCGCGCAAACCGACAGCTGGTCACACGTCGCAGGTCTTGTTCGCCATAATATTTTGAAACTGGGGCATAACTGCATTTCAAATGTTCAGAACCCATAAAAGCGATGCTTGAGGAACACCAGTTTCGGGGTTCCCTGAATCATCATGCTGCTGCGCCGTAAAATGATGTGTAGCATCCCTTACACGCAGGCCGCGAACTGCACCACGAAAACGTGACCATACTATTCAGTTCTTCTGATGTCGCGCGCATCATCACGAAGTCAGATGAACGGCGTCCTGGAAATCAGATTGCGGCTCCACCAGCGTTACCATTGTCCATCCTCAAGTGGCTGCCTAGCACACTCGGCGCATCATTAGACGCGGGTAACGTACCGCGTGGGCGCACAGTTGGTCGTTCAAGCGTTCAAGAGCGGCACGTGACCCTAGGTGTCAACAAAGCTCCGAGAAAACCCGCTCAGCGAGTACAAAAGCACGCGCAAGCTGCAGGCAACATGCTCGCTGAAACAGTGCTCTGCAGTCGTGCCCACGTGCAGTGCCTTCAACTTGCGCGTGCAAAGAAAGAAAAAAGAGCCTCGGAGTGGAGCGGCCGGACAGCGGCGGGGAGCTCGCTGTCCGGCCGCATTCCAGCTCGCACGTGCGCTACTCACAGCCTGCGGGCGTCCTGGGGCAGCGGGCGCGGTACTACGCGCAGCCCTCGGTGGCTGCAGTCCAGCGTGAGTCCCGTGCATCGGCACGGATCGGGACATCGCGACAGCTGCGGCTCCTCGGCGGCGCTGCTCGCGAAGAACAGGCACAGCAGCAGCGCGGCCGCCATGCGGGCTGTTCAGGCGGCGCCCACCATGCTCCGAGCCTCGACAAGCACTCCTCCGGTTCACGCAGCGCCACTTCTCTCCGCTCGACGCTCACAGCAGCGCCCCCTTCTCTGGGGAGAGGACCACTCGCGATCATCAGGGGGAGTCGCCGCGGTCGATTCGCCGCCGAATGATGCGTCTCCGCGAGAGGCGTCGTCGATTGCCCTCGTGTCGCTCCGTGCCGCCGCCGTACAACACCGGCGAGGGCTTAACAACTACTCACCCGAGTGTTCAAAAACTCGCTCTAACACAAGCATACAAAGAGTCGGGCACCCGCAATAAATTTCTGCATACGCGCATGTGCGAGCGAGATCTCGTACGATGACGGGAGGGCATAGGTTGGCACTGTGAGAGACTACTCACTCATACTAACTCACTACGATTTTCTCGGCCTTCGCACTCACTCACGTTCATGCACACGTCTGCTCACTCTCAAAGGCCCCCACTCACGGTCATACTCACGACTACTTACACTCGTAGGCACTCACTCACTTTACACTCACGACCACTTACACCCATTAGCACTCACTCACTTCATACTCACGACTACTTACAATGACAGGCACTCACTCACGTTTATACTCACGCCAACTCACACTCATGGGCCTTCGCTCGCATTCATACTCACGACTACTCACACTCATGAGAACCCACTCACGTTCATACTCACGCCTACACACACAGGCACTCATTCACGTTCATACTCATGCCTACACACAGTCATGAGCCTTAGGCACTCACTCACGATCACACTCGCGCCTACTAACACACATAAGAACTCACTCAAGTTCATACTCACGCCTTCCCACACTGATATGCACTCACTTTGATGCTCACATCTACTCATCATCATCGTCGTCAGCAGCAGCAGCAGCCTGAATACGCCCACTGAAGCACAAAGGCTAGTCCACTGTTCTGACAGTCAACTTCGTCCTGTATTTGCTGCTGCCACTTCACATCCACAAACTTCATAATGTGATCTGCCCACCTAACTTTGTCTCCCTTTAACCCGCGTGCGTTCTCTTGGAATCTGCAAAATTGATCCGGAGAAAACGAGAGTAATGTACAACAACCTCGGAGGAGAACAGCGCCTTGATATAGGCAATAGTGCATTTGAAGTTGCAAAATAGTACGTCTACTTACGACAGGTAGTAACTGCGGAGCCGAACCACGAGGTTGAAGTAACAGGAAGAAAAAGACTGGGGTGGAGCCTATTCGGTAAGCATTCTTAAATCATCAATGATAGATTGCCATTATCCCTCAAGCAGAAAGTATATAACAGCTACACCTTACCTGTACTTACATACCTACGAAGCAGACACCTGTAGGATACAAAGAGGGTTCAACTGAAGTTGAGGAGGACGCAGCGAGAAATGGTAAGGAAAATGATACGTGTAACCCATAGGGACAAGGACATGGCAGGGTTTTATCAGGGAACAAACGAGTGTTTAGAACATCATAGCTGAAATCAAGCAGAAATGTCGTTGGGAAGGGCACGTATAAAGTAAAGGCAAGATAACCGCTGGTCATTATGAATCACAGATAACTACCCAGTCATGAATATTACCTAACATTCATACTCACCCCTACTGTACTTAATGAGTGCTCACTCACGTTTCCACTCCGGACTACTCACCCTCATAAGTAATCACTCACATTCACGCTCACGACTACTCACACTCGTGTACTCATTCACGTTCATATGCACGTCTACTCGATCACCCTCATGTGGGCTTACTCACGTTTACACTCATGACTACTGACTCTGAGTGCTCACTCATGTCCACTACCACTTACGTGTTCTCACTCACGTTCATATTAATGACTACTTACACTCGGTGTACTCACTCACGTTCATACTCACGCCTAATCACACTCATGAGTACTCAATCACGTTCATACTCGCTTCTACTCACACTCCGAGTACTCACTCACATTCATACTCACTCCTGCTCACCCTCAGAGTACTCACTTCTCCTCACAATAGGAGTACTCACGTTTATACTCACTCATACTCACGCTCAAGAACACTCACTCAAACTCACACTCACCTCGTTCAAATGAGTATGAGTGAGTGTGAGTGTGATACTCACTTCACGATCATAATCACTTCAACTACCACTCGGAGTACTCACTCACTTTCATACTCACTCCTACTCAAACTCGGAGTACTCACTCATGTTCATACACACTTCTACTCACCCTCGGAGTACTCACTCACGTTCGTACTCACTTCTCCTCACACTCGGAGTACTCACGTTTATACTCACTCATACTCACACTCATGAACACCGTGTTCATCCATCAGCGTCGACCATCAGCGTTGGTACTCAAACTCACACTCACCTCGTTCAAATGAGTATGAGTGGGCGTGAGTGAGTTTACTCATGAGTGAGTATGCCGAGCTATGCCCGGGGAGGGACATCACGCGAAGGCTTCGTAACCTGCAGTGCAACGTTGGTACGATCATTCTGTGGAATTTTATTCTGTGGAGTGTGTTACCGACGCTGATGGTTCGCCAGAACATTAACTTCAAAGCTCTCTTGCCACCAAGGCAGAAACTTTCAATTTTGCGATTCCGTGTCCATCGTGTCTCACTCGATGGGTCGGTCCCCCGGTGCTGAAGAACAAGAAGGGTATCAAATCCTTGCTGTTCTTGGTGTCTCGAACAACTCGCTCTGTCTACATTATCGCAGTCGCTTAGATGAGAAGGAAATGCACCGCGGAACCTGGATGATCTGCAGGGCATACGGTTGACATTACCAACTCTATAAATTAGCACTGCCTTTAAAGTAAATAGTGTGCATGCATTGCATTTGGCGAGATCTTACATATGGGGCAGAAACTTGGAGCATAACAAGATAATTCAAGAAGATAAGGATTACGCAGCGTGTGATCAAACGGGAAATAGGCGAAACTTCACAGGAAAGCTGAAGCACCTTTATAGCGTGTTCACGGGGTATGATCCCTCTTAGTTAGAGTTCTCAAAAGCGAACGAAAGTAGGGTAAAAATCGGCCGCAGGACTACTTGAGACGCTGAACGAACGCGGTGACGTCATCATCGGTATCTGCAACAGCAGTAGCCCTGCTGGCCTCCTTAATTCGCGCCGGCAGCAGCCCGTCCCGAGTTAATCACGGAGGTCATGGTTGAGCATACGATAGATGATTGTTCACGTAGCACTCGGCTGTTTGTATCTGTTCCAGATATCCCAATCCAGCTAAAGACCGGTCAGTTTGGCTACACTTATTTGAGCTTTCGTTACATAAACAGCAGGATTTCGAACAGGCTACTCAACAATCGACCACATTCATACTATCAATCAGGTAATAGAGAAATGCTCAGAATATAGCAAACCACTATACATAGCATACATTGATTACGAGTAGGCTTTTGATTCAGTCGAAATATCAGCCATCATGCAGACACTGCGGAATCAGGGTGTCGATAAAGCATATGCAAACATCCTGGAATAAATCTACGGGGGATCAACTGCTACCATAGTGCTTCATAAAGAAAGCAACAGAATACCAATCAAGAAGGGTGTAAGGCAGGGGGATATAATCTCCCCAATGCTATAAGAGTTAATGCAGTGTACCTTAGTAACCTGCGCTTCGCCGATGACATTGCATTGCTGAGCCACTCAGGGGACGAATTGCAACTAGAGCAGAAAGTTGGGCTTTAAAATTAATCTGCAGAAAACGAAAGTAATGTACAAACACCTCGGAAGAGAGCAGTGCTTCGAGATAAGTAATAGTGCACTTCAGCTTGTAAAAGACTATGTCTACTTAAGGCAGGTAATAACCGTGGAGCCGAACCACGAGATTGAAGTAACTAGAAGAATAAGAATGAGGTTGATCACATTTGGCAAGCACTCGCAAATCATGACAGGTAGATTGCCACTATCCCTCAAGAGGAAGGTATATAACAGCTGATTCTTGCCGCTACTTAGCTATGGAGCAGAAACCTGGAGACTTACAAAGAGGGTTCAGCTTAAATTGAGGACGACGCAGCGAGCAATGGAAAGAAAAATGGTAGGTGTAACCTTAAGAAACAAAAAGAGAGCAGAGTGGGCTAGGGAACAAACGGGGTTAAGGATATCATAGTTGAAATCAAGAAGAGGAAATGGACAGAGTGGGTTAGGGAACAAATGGGGGTTAGGGATATCATAGTTGAAATCAAGAAGAGGAAATGGACATGGGCCGGGCATGTAGCGCGTAGACAGTATAACCACTGGTCATTAAGAGTAACAAACTGGATTCCCAGAGAAGGCAAGCGGATTAAGGGGAGACAGAAGGTTAGGTGGGCAGATGAGATTAAGAAGTTTTGCGGGTATAAATTGGCAGCAGCAAGAAGAGCACCGAGTTGACCGGCGGAACATGGGAGAGGCCTTTGTCCTGCAGTGAACGTAGTCAGGCCGATGATGATGATGATGATGATGATGATGATGATGATGATGATGATGATGATGATACATAAACAGTGCTCAGCCATATGTCCAGTTTTAGACCGGCTCGGCCAGTTTTTTTGACCGTGAGGCGGTTGCGGGTCCGCACCCACCGCCATTGGCTGTTTTTTTTTTTTCAGAGCAGTAATTGAAGTGTCATTCTACTACGGGTATATTTATGGCAGTAATCGGAATAGTAGGTTAGCTCAGTGTGCCGTTTTTGTTTGTACATCAGGTTTCTTTGGCTCAAAAGCAATATGTGACATCAAATGACACTGCATACCTAAGACCTGACATGGCGTCTGCTGTTCAACGCAAATTTATTCTCCTGGTATCTCATCATCTCCCCACACCCCTCCCCTTCGTCGAAGGGCCTTTTTTTTTGTTCAAAACAAAAGGTGGCGACAGTGAGCGGCGGGAATCTTTCGTCCAAGGGCAGCCCAGCTTCGCCAAATGAAGAGCAAATGACGTAGGCTTCTACGCCCACACTTACGGCGCGCTCGAGTGGGCGAGCTGAGAGGCGAAGCAAAATGCACTTTTGC